TATAACAATATGTTTCAAAACCATTCCCCTCTATTAACTATGTTTAAAGCTAGCCATGTTTCAAGGTATTTTCAAGTACCGGCTAAAAGACCTGGGATGAAGGCCAAGTATGGCTAGAATCTCTTTTTTAAAATGTCTTTTATTATGCAAACCTTACCAAAGTTGGCATAGGCACATTAATTTTGATGAATTCTTACAAATATGTATTTACCTTAGTATAGTTTGGGACCCTCGTAATGCTGATCTGGTTTGCACTTGGCATTGTTGTGAATTTGAAAAAAAATAGACAAGGATTTTTAACAAAATGTTGTTGTCATGGATTGAAAAGAAATTTCCCAAAATTGCCATTTTTTTCATTGCTACATCATTCTCTCTTTGAATTTAGCAAAATAATATCTTTTTGGCCACCATTTACTAGTAATTTTGATTTCTTCACAATACTATACACAGTTTTGAGGCTTTTCATGGGAATAAAGTGGTAACTGAGTTGCCAAATATTTGAGCTTTTTAAATGTCTAAGGTAAAAATAACAAAAGCATACAAGACTTTCTTTTAGTTATCCTAATAAATGTCATGTTAAACTGAAAATACATCACGAGACTTGCTTTTTCAATCAAACATCAGCAAATATCCCCTACAAGAGCAATGGTAGTTCAGGTGTTAAGACAGATCCTTACACTTCTTACTAGGAAGAATGAAGATAGAGATGATAACCTTCAGCCCATTTTAATATTATTATTTTTAGTTCATGGTTGTGAAGATCAAGGTCAAGAATGAGTTAAAATTTATCCTAAAACTGAATGAATGAATGAATGAATGCATAAATTAATAAAAGGAGAAATGAATACATATATGCATAAATGAATGAATAAATACATGAATAAATTAATACCGAATGAATGCATAATGCATAAATAAGAGTGAATGCATCAACTGATTAATTGATAAATGATAAATAGTTCAATAGATGGATAATTAATTTTGAAAAATACCAATAGTTTTAAACCAGTGGGAAAAGATTGTATTTATTCTTACCTTTTCTTCCTGTGTTTTGGGTGTTAAACTGTTGTTTTGATTTTCAGAATATACAGAAAAACTGAAGTCATCCATTAAACAACAAACCGATTTCCTGTTGTCAGAGGAAGAAGACAAGAAAATTAGAACCGATGACATCTTTACGAGTGTGACTATCCAACGCGGTCCAAAACACTTCCAGGAACCCAAAGAAAAAAGGTTTGGCAGGAGGCAATTGGATGAAGTTCAAGCAAGTAGTAAAAAACTCGTGGACTGTTCAGAAATGTTTCTTTGTCCAGAAAATGATGATCAGAAATCCACAGCTTCTTGCACGACCAATCCTAAATCTATCTTGTTGACGGGCAAAGCAGGAATTGGAAAATCCCTTTTTTGTCGGAAGCTGGCACGGGATTGGTCGCATGGCCGATTGTTTGAGGAAGGTCAAGAAAATGCCAAAGTACCTGATTTTCAGTTTGTGTTCTCGTTGACATTCCGTCAATTTGTTCTTCCAGAAGAAAAACTTAATTTGTGTGAAATCTTAAATCGGTCCTCCCTACTGAACGAGCACTCAGTGATAGACGAGTCATTACTGCAGTACATGATTGAAAATCCTGAGAAGCTGCTCATCATTCTTGATGGGTATGATGAGTATAAACAACGACAGAAAATCACCGGGGACTTTGAGACAAGATACCCAAACGACCCAGATGAAAAAATACCTGTTCCTGCT